AGGCGGAAGACTTCGATATTTGCTAATCCAAGAGTGTGAACAGAATGAGACATACTAAGCAAAAAACATACACTCCAAAATGAGTAATGACCACAGAAAGTATACACATATCTTGAAAGTATTAACATCACAAACTTCTCTGCAAGGCACAATTCGGGTTGGATTCGCATCTAAACACTCATAGCCTCACTGAAATAAAAAGTGCGAAAACAAATACAACTGAAAGGAGTTTTGTCAAACGGGATTGCCAAGAATAAAACCCTAACAGGACATTTACATACAAGTCCCATTTTGTGAACTTATACTCCATTAAATCCTAAATAAAATTATTTGCTCCTTCAAATCCTATTAATTTTTAATAGCCAAATTTATCCTTTTAAGACCTCCTCATAGCTGCCAAACATCATTGCTGTCTTCATTCTCTCTCTCTTCACAGTTGCAATTTGAAGTTATACGCAACTTTAGTTCGACGAACATGGGTGATTCGATCTGGGTCTTGATTCGTCGTTGATTGAAGCTCGATCAATCAATTTCACAGGTCACTCTTCGACTTCGAATTTGGATTTCAGTTCGGAATCATGACTTCGGCTCTTGAATTCATCCACGATGGTACGTTTATGGTAACTTCCAGTTCCGTTCGTTCAATAGAATCGCAGAACAATCTCAATCCAACCCACCTTTCCGAAGTTGAAGCTTCTTTGCATCTTTCTCTCTCTTTCTCTCTAGCCACCATTCCTTCCAGAAACCTCTCAAATTCGCCCTTCTCTTTATATACCCCCACACCATCTTCACTTGGATCATTAGAACCACAACCAACAATCTCTCACTCATAATTTCCTAAAATATTTTTCTTTTTCTTCCACTCAACTCCAGTAAGTAGTTAAGAGTGACGACTATGTTGACAACTATGTTGATGTCGATTTTTAGCGCCTTCGATGCTCTCTCTGCCGAATCCTTTGGTCAGAAGGTCGGTTTTTCTTGGGTTCCAAAAGAGGGAAAAGTGGACGATTCTACGGTGGATCGCAAGGGAGCTTCGTCTCCGAAAAGTCAGATGAAGAAAGATTACATTGTTCTTCTGAATTCTAATTTGGAATTGAGAATATTCCCAGTTTATAATATTCTCAATTTTAATCATGAAAAAAATTGAGAAATTTCTCAAAATTGATAATTATAAATTTCTTAGTTTTGATAATATTCTTAGTTCATACTAGAAAAAATTGAGAAATTTTTTAGTTTTGATAATTATAAATTGAGAACATTCTCAATTTTGGGGTTAAAGGGAAAAACATCTTTTTACCTATAAATGGGACTTAATGGTTCAAAAACTTTCTTACAGGATCTAAGCTACCACTAAATATGTAGATAGGACTGTTTGGTAATTAATCCTAAATTTATTATTCAAATATGATTTAAAGATAACAGAAAAAAAAGAGAAGAAATTGAAAGATGTTGAAAAAATTAGGCTGATAGGGTCAAAGATTTTGACAATATTTATTTTTTTCTTCATTATATAAATATGTGATTCAGACACAATTTAAAGAGAAAGAGAACAAATTTAAAGATGTTGAAAAAATTAGTGATAATGTAGTAGACATATTTTTACAACTTATAGGAGAAAAAAAAAAAAAAAAGCAAAAAAGAAAAGCATTCTGGATACAAATTAAAATGTCAAGTTTATATCTAATAAAATTTCTTTTGCTGATCAAAATAATAATAATAATAACAATTTACATTCTTTTGCCAATAAAATAAAAAACAAATTTGAAATAAATTACTATCTTTGTCTTGAAATTTGTTTGATGCATCTCCCATCACATATGTAATTTTTAATTTATAAAAAATAGTCACAAAATTGGACACGAAATGTCCATAAATGGAAAAGATTTTTCAAAAATAAGTCCTTTTGCTAAATCATATGAAATTTTATTAGGAGTTACGCATATATAGGTCCTACTATATGAACTTATTGTCCAATAGGTTCTATAATAATTAATGGTATTTTTTATCATTTATTATTAAAAAATGTCATTAATTATTAATTTTTAGCGACAATTTAAAATTTTGTCACAAAAAATATAAATTATAAGTTTCAGCGGTAATTTAAAAAAATCGTCACAAAAAAGTCACTAATTGTTAACTTTCAATGACAGTTTGAAAAATTCGTCATAGAAAAACGTCACTAATTGTAAATTTTAGTGACAATTTATAAAAACTATGACAAAAAAAGTCACTAATTGTTAATTTTAGCAACATATGTAAAAATCCGTCACAAAAACTTATTTTTAGCGACAATTGTACTAGGACTTATTTTCAATAAGACGTGATGAGAATTAAATCCAATTATTAACACTTTTTAGTAGTTTGCCCATTTTATTATTCATTTGTATTTCATGTTTCATTCTATATTTGATTTATAAGTTCATAAAACAATTAAATTTCTCAACTCAAATGCTTACTAAAGAATTTGGTTTATCTCAAGTTGACCATCCAAATTGAGAAAACAATTTAGGTTTGGTGTTATTTTGGGGTTGATTATGGTAATTTAAATTATTTATTTTTTTTAGAATTCGTTGAATAGAATATTTATACAAAAAATTAAGATGATTGAATATCGATATCTATATGTTTAAATCACATTTGTATTACAAAAAAATGAATGACTAATCTTAAAATTATATTTGTCATCTATTTTTAAAAACAAATGTGATTAAAAAATATACCAATTGATATTTAATTTTTTGTATGAATATTTTGGGTTGTTGTGAAAAAATGGTTAAAAGCTAGCTTTTTGACTTTTTTTTGTAACTTTTTTTGAAAAAACACATAAAAAATATGAGAGATGATGTGACCTAAAATGAATTAAAAGTTAAAAAATGACTTTTAACTATCTTCTCAAAATAGCCCTTTATTCAATGATTGCAAAATGAACTGTTAGAATTCAGACCCATATATACTCATAGCCCATGGTTGCTTGATGGGAGCCCAAACCAAGGAATGAATGCAAAACCTATTGTAAACCCGAATCAAATATGATCATAGCCCATTAATGTATCCGCCAAATCCAGTACAACATATAAAAATTTTAGTGTTTAATTTTTTTGTTTTATTATTTTTTAAAGTAAAAATTTTATTATAAAAAATATTTTGAAACTAATTTCTATGTCACAAAAATTGTCGCTAAAAATTATTCCAAAAAATAAAAAAGAACTTTTTAAGACCTCATTTTAAAAATGTTGCAAAAAAATGCGGGACAAAATAATTTGGTTGTGAAAAAGTTTATTTTTTTGAGACAAAAATGTTGGTTTCAAAAGAATAAAAGTTCATCAATAAATGTGCAATTTCGTCGATAAAAATATAATAATGATATTTTCGGTAAAAAAATTTATTCCTAAAAAATAATTGTTCCTAAATTTTTGTTTCTCAAACCTTAATTTGTTGTAGTAAAAAAACCCACAAAATATTGGATTGATGTTCAAATTTTTGAAGATATTTCTCTTTTTCGCAAAACAATTTTTGAGAATCAGCTTCAATACAATCTTTATAGTATTCTCTTCAATACTTCATGATAAAGAAATAGGCTTAATTTGGATGGTAGAAATATTGAGAAGAATTGTCACTACCATTTCAGCTCTTTTATGAATTCTAATGGCTGAAACAAATTGAGTGAGCAATCTCACTACAAAAAAATTAAGGTTTTAGAGACCAAAGTTTAGAGATAAAATTATTTTTTAGGGACCAAATATTTTTGTTGCAAAAAGTATCATTATTATATTTTTAACAACGAAAATTAGACATTAGTGATGAATTATTATCTTTTTGGGACCAAATTTTATCTCAAAAAATAAACCATTTTGAGACCAAATTATTTTGTTCCTAAAAGTGCATTTATTAGTGACATTTTCAAAATTTTGTCGATAAAAGCCTTATTTTTGACTTTTCGGGATGACCTTTTAGCGACTATCCGCTCGACGATAGAAATTGGTCCCTAAATGTTTTTTGCAACAAAATTTTCAGTTTTAGAGACCAAAAACTCTCCTATGTTGTAGTGTGCTATGTATTATAAAATAAATATTATGAAAAGTTTCATGAAACTAATCTAAGGGTGATTACATAATATATAATAAAATATTATAAACTAATTTAAAGACGGGGAATTTTGATGAAAGTTTTTCATGATAATTCGTTTATGATGCCTAGCATTATTGAGATTGCATATGAAAGTGACTCTTGATTATTGATTACTTATTTAAGGAAGGATTTATTTATGAGTTGGCTATTTTGATAATCCAAATAGTTTATTTTGTAGTGTTTTCAATGCATATTCTTAATAAAAAAAAATTAAATTGATTCAATGATAGTAACATTTTTATTTTATCGCATTCGTCTCGAAAAAATGGAAGACTAATATGTTTTTAAAAATAGACTATTTTTTTTTTTGACAAACACGATAAAATAAAAAGATTACGATTATCGGATTAACCTAAATATTTTATAAATTATATACATAGATGGCCCTATAAAATGAACAGTTCAGATCATCAAAATAGAACTGGCCTCTCAAGTAGATTGTTTAGGTGCCTAATTAGCCTTCTTAAGTTGCTTATGAATCGGAACCACATATTAATGTTTTTTGAGTAAATTTTTTGAATGTATGGTATTATTAAATAAAAAATATAAATAATAATATACAACCATAAAATTAATGCAAAATTTTCATACATATTGATGTGACTTAATGTGCACATTTCACTCTGAAACAAAACACTTATAAAGATAATTTGTTTACAAAAATAGTATTGATACATCATTCATATAGAATTTTTGTACGAATTTTATACAAGAATAGTAATTTCCAAAAAATATAGATAAGGACTACAAGGATAAAATGGTATTTTCCTAACATCCATACATCCATCTAAACGATAACTAGTAACAAGAAGTAGGATCACCATGGACACAACCATATATCACGGAACCTTTCCCTTCTAGTGCATCGCCAACTTCAGTGGTTACCCTGTTAAACAGGAAAGGAATTTTGTTCACACAATATGAATAATACATGCTCTCTCATTGCCTCATTTTGAGCTTTTGGTGGGACTAGCTCATTGGTTCGACCAATGAGATGTTGCGTATTGTTTACGTATGTGTGTGAACAAATTTGCACTTGATGCAAACAGTCAGTATTTAGATTTAGTATTAGCAATTTTCTATTGCCTCTCCGCAACTTTCTCTCAACGTATTTTTGTGTTTGTGTGTTTGATCGCACCTTTTCTATTCACATTTCCTTTACTTTTTCTCTTTTTTCTTCTTTGCTTTGATTCTTCTCTTGTTTCTCACAAGTTTTTTTTTTTTTTTTTTTTTTTAAACCTAGGGGTTTCTACCTCTTTTTTTAGTTTCTCCCTTGTCTCAGCTTCTATACAGATTAAACATGGCTCCAGAGATCAAAACAGGACTGTCATCTGCAAGTGGAATAGTTCCCGGACCATATCACAATGAATCCATGGTGTGTGAGTTTGCCCAAAGGACCAACTTTCAGGGTTCAATATGGCTTGGAGGTCAACCTTTAGGCTACAGCACACCTGTTCTGATGGCCCAGTTCATTCTCATTTTCATTGTCTCAAGATTACTATACATCTTTCTAAAACCTTTGAAACAAAGTCCAATGAGTGCACAAATCATTGTAAGTTCCTTTCTCTTTCTCTCTTCTACCGATTTCATTTACAAGTTGAGGTCTTGAAATCTTTGCTCTAAGTTATTGCTGGGTCAAAAAGAAAATAAACTTTCATTAAGGCTGCAATTTAGATGGGTTCAGTTGGATTGAGAGTCTAGAAGTTAAGTTCAGTTCGAAGTGAAAAGAGATTTTCCCAAGTCTAAGCTCGAACTTGTTTGCCCAAGAGCTCGAGTTTATCTTAAAGAATCAGGTTAGGCTCAGGTTATCCAAATTCAAACCAAAAAAAAAAAAATTATTGCAACCACATTTCCTCATATTTAGACTAGAAACAATTGCTATACAAAGGTTCTTTTGGAAGAAAGAACACGGACTAGTCTGAATTTATCATAATTGATTTGTCCTAACACCAAATAATAATTATGGTTGGCCGAGGTACAACCCAATGATAATTAAATACACAAGCTTTATTATCAACTGCTACCACATTGGCCCCCATGTTTTGCCCAGAGAGCAGTAGCAGTTGCTCAATTTCCCGTTGTGGATTTTCATTGATTACTTCCTTAGATTTCTTCACCTCATGCTTAAGAACACTCTTGCATTGCAGAAATGGCTCTAGATGAAGATTGTTGTGTCCATTTCTCACCTCCATTATGTTGTGTCTATATATACCTTTGTGAATGAGGATGATGAGAAGCAACATGGCCTCTCAACGTTTCCATTTTGAAGATTTGGGTTTCGAAATGAAAATAGAAAAAGACGCAAACAAATTCACGCACGCATATTAGGCTGATTGAATTTGAAACTGAAAAGATGGTAGAGAAAAATGACAGATTGAATTCAAAATTGAAAAAGGAGAGAGACAGAGAGGGGAAAAAAATAGTAGACAAAATTAGTATTGTCTGCCTCAAACCTTATGTGTCCTAACATTAATTGTTGCCAATCTGTCCTATTTGATGACAAGGATTCTCTGTCCTATTTGATGGTGAGGATGCTGACTGATTTAGACTAAAATTTTAGTGGAAATAAGTTATAACCATAAGAAGTATTGTTGATTTGAATTTCCCAAACAAGAATGAAGGTGTAATTAAATAGTCATATAGCTGTTTCTTATGATTGTTTGAAATGAAATGGATTAACTTGTATTGGATGCAGACTGGTATAATAATGGGGCCATCAGTTCTAGCACAAGACAAAAGGTATGCAGAAATCATACTTCCTCCAGATGGAAGATTGGTTCTTGGCACAGTCGCAGATGTTGGCTTCATGCTTCACCTCTTTCTATTAGGTGTCCAGACTGATACCTCCATGCTGAAGCAGGCGGGAAAAAAGGCCGCGTTAATAGGTTCTACAGGTTTTGCAATGGCTTATATTCTAGGCGGGTTGGCCTGGTTTGCCATATCACACATAGTGGTGATAGATGATAAGATACTAACATCCCTCCCTTTTATCGTCACTCTGAATTCCATATCTTCGTTTCCTGTTATAACAAGCCTACTTGCTGATCTAAACATTCTCAACTCAGAGATTGGCCGGTTAGCCACTTTCACATCCATGGTTTGTGACTTGTGGAGCTATTTTGGTTCATTGATTTTGTTTAAAATTGGTTTAGCTCTTCACACAACAGAATGGGGATTGATGTGGTCCTCTGCTTGGATTGTCGCCTATGTGATTGTCATTGTTTTTGTCCTAAGGCCGTTGGTTTTTTGGATGGCCAAGCAAATGCCGGAAGGGAAGCCCATGAAGGAGTCTCACTTCATGTCAATCATGGTCATAGTCTTGGGTTGTGGCTTTTTTTCTGAAGTTCTTGGCCAGCATTCTGGCCTTGGTTCTTTTATGTTAGGCATGATTATACCCGATGGGCCGCCTTTGGGCGAAAGTTTAGTATATAAGCTTGAAGCAATGTCTACTGGCTTGTTACTTCCTGTCAAGTTTGTACTCACTGGCCTAAATACAAACTTGTTATCAATTGAAGGGACGTCTGCGATGGTTGTCGAGATCACCATTATTTCTGGCTACCTAGGAAAGTTCTTGGGCACCCTCCTTACTGCGCTTTACTCCAGCGTGCGATTCCAGGATGCTTTATCCCTTTCTTTGATCATGTGTTGCAAAGGCATCGTCGATATTGCTCTATATTGTGCTTGGAAGGATGAAGGGGTAAAATCTCTCTCTCTCACACTGTAACTGTTTGGAGCAATTTCCGACCTTATTTAACTATTTTAATTGGTAATTGTCAATTTAATTGTTTCACTCGCACAGTGCATATACATCTACACACACATCATTTGGAGATTAACAAAAAAAAAATGGTTTAGAAGAGAGGATAAGCTGGCCCCGTTTATTTTGGGAGATAGAATGGAGGGGATTGATAGTGAGGGGATCGATAGTGAGGGGATTGATAATGAGAAATTGTTAAATTATTTTTATATAAAATAATAAAACAAATAAAAAAATATAAAAAATTAAACATTATATTTAAAAAAAAATTCCTAATATATAAAAAATAAAAAAATTTCTAATCCCCTCACTATCTTCTAATACCATCTCTACCTCTTCCTTACCAATCTCCCTTCCAAGGGTATTAGTAATACCAAGGGACTAATAGTCCCAAGGTTATCTCTGCAAACAAACAAGGGCATTAGTAATACCTTGGTATTACTAGTCCCAATACCCTCCCTATAGCCTAAAACAAACGGGGCCTTAGGATTAACAAAGTACCGACTAAAAAAAATTCAACACCGAAAAACGTACACAATTTCTCACTTTCAAGAAATTACACATGTAGGTTGGCATGCATTGGGATTCAATTTGCTTACATGCATTATTTAGTTAAAATGAAAAGTGAGAGACTTAAAATATTCTTCTTAAGAAGGACACAGAAAAGAAGTGATCCTTTGGGAAGGGATTGACAATTTCCAATTGTTTACCCATGAAAGAAAAAAATGGTTAATTACATTAATGGTCTTCAAAGTATATCTTATGTTACACTGTAGTCCCTCGTTCCTAATTGTTTCACTTTGGTCTGCAAAGTATATGATCGGTAACACTTCAATCTTTGACATTATCACCATTTAAAATCAATAACGAGAGGCGTGGTATTTTTAAAATTTTATAGGTAGCCTCAATAAATTCAAAATAACCAACCACATAAATGGTCTAAAATTGAGCATTTTGTGGTTCTTAAAATATATGTTTTGTTTCATTTTAGTCTCTAAAATATGCAAAAAAAATTTCCCTTTAATTGTGTTGCATTTTTTAGTAAAATTATGAAAATACTCCTCTTTTGGTTACTAATTTTGAGCGGCATAGATGCTAGAGACTAAAATGAAACAAATTGCATAATTTGGGAACAAAAGTAGATCAAGTAAAAGATTGGGGACTAGAGTGTGAAAGAACACATACTATGGCGAAAATTTGTGAAAATAATCCAAGGAAAAAAAAAAAAAACAACAACAACAACAACAAATTAAGAATAAAAAGGAGGGAGGTGTAATATGATTTTTTTACAAATATATACCTTAAATTGCAACTTTTATGTTGTTCATGTACAGGTTGTAGGGAGACAAGAATTTGCACTTCTGATAATCACAATGCTGATTGTAACAGGGATGGTTAGACCCCTTGTAAGGTACCTCTATGACCCATCAAAACGGTACATGGTCCGTACAAGAAGCAACATCCTCCGTTCCCATGATCAAAATACTGATCTACGAATACTAGTTTGTGTACACAATGAAGACAATGTTCCACCCATTATAAACCTCCTCGAAGCCTCGAATCCAACCAAACAGAGCCCAATCTCGGTCTTCGTCTTGAATCTCTTGGAGCTCAAAGGCCGGGCCGCAGCCATTCTTGTGCCGAATTACCGCCGTGGCAAGCTCGTCACCACGGCAGGCAACTCCAAACACATCGCAAACGCATTTACTTATTATGCCCAGCACAATCAAGGCCGGGTCACTTTGCAGCATTTCACTGCAGTAGCTCCATTTGCAAGCATGCACGACGACGTGTGCATGCTTGCATTGGACAAAGGTGTGACAATTGTAATTGTGCCCTTTCACAAGCATTGGACCATTGATGGGACAGTTGGGGCTATCTTCCCTTCCATTAGGACCGTGAATCGAAACGTAATCAATAAGGCCCCCTGCTCCGTCGGAGTCCTTGTTGACCGGACCTCAATAAGTGGAAGCTGGTCAGTCTTAACAGGGCAATCCCTTTTTCGGGTTGCGTTACTCTTTCTCGGGGGTGCGGATGATCGGGAAGCATTTGCATACGCCAGACGCATGGCAGACCACCCTTATGTGATGCTGACCGTGGTGTGGGTCAGACCGTGGGCACACAGCAAGTTCAGTAAGGAGTTGAGTGACACTCTTGTTGACGACGAATTGATGAACGAGTTCAAAGACAATGCTATGAGCAAGGAAAGGATTGTTTTCAAGGAGGAGATTGTGGAAGACGCGGAGGGGACGACACGTGTGATCCACTCTATGGAGAGTGCTCATGATTTGTTCATTGTAGGTAGGTACCATGACCCTGAGTCACCATTGACATCAGGTTTAACAGAGTGGAGTGAGTCTCCTGAGCTTGGAGTCATTGGGGACATGCTAGCTACTTGGGATTTTCGATTTTCGGTTTTGGTAGTTCAACAGCAGCCAGCAACAAATCATTTTAAGATTTCTCAAGATCCTTTTGCTACTCAAGAGCGTAATTCACGTCATATTGGATCAATGAAGACTCCTGTATAAGGACTCAAGGGTACTAGTATAGGTGTAACATGTGTGTTGTTCCAAAGTGTTGTTAGTATGTGTTTTAAGATAGAGCGTGTGTGTTGTAAGTATTGTTAATTGTGTTTAAGATCAATAGGAATATTGCAGGTAAAGAATGACAAATCTACAAGATTTTATGACTTGCTTTAAACTTCCCAATTCAATATGACAATCAACATGATATGGTGTTAGGTTTAGGTGTGGTTTGTGAAATGATTTGTTTTTGTATTTTTTGCCTTTTTCAAGAAAAAATAAAAAATAAAAAATCATAGTTTATGCATTTGATAATGCTAAAAAAATTGAATGATATATGGTTTTTTTTTTTTTTGATCGTCAAAAGAGAAGCTTTATTGATGGAAAAACATAACGAGTATGATAACATACATCAATAAAGAAGAGGGTGCAAAAAGTATCACAGTGAAACATTTAGATCCCAACTAGGTTGGCACCTAGACGCACACCAAATCATCTGCTAGCACACACTCGAAGCTCCAAGTTGGTGAGAAACCAACATTCAGAGCGGAACAAAACAAAACAAAAACAAAAAAGCAATAAAAATACTCCTTTGCTGGAGCATAAGATAGAACACCATTCAACCAAACCATAGATAAGCCTGAATCCATATTAGCCCAAAGCACAAGACAGAGTCAACCACAAAGCAGCAGACAAACAGACAAGCCTATGAGACCATAACACAAAACAGATAGGCCTGTTTGTCTATTCAACCACAAACAGCAGCCCATAAACTAGCAGAAACACACCTTGGCAGTCCAACATAGCAAACCACCAACAGACTAACGTCAGACCAGCAACAGACCAAGACAACATCCATAAACCCTGCCAGATCTGGAGATGGAGAACCAAGACAACAGAGCAAAAGTCCAAGTAGACCAACAGCATACCAAAGGCAAGGCACCAGCCCACCCACACAAAGCAAAGATCATACCAGCAATGGCTCAGCCCACCCCCAGCCACAACCATCACAGCAACCATGCTCACCTTAACATATTAGAAGTCACTATGAATTTCATAGCTGTAGTTGCCCAGCAGACCATAACAAGTACCAAATCCCGTCCACCATGATATGCACCAATTGGAGAAATATGTCTGCCACCAATCTTAGCATGTTAGCAGCCCAGACCTAGAACTCTAGCAGATTGGATCGGAGCACACACAACAAACACACTTTAGCATACCAACAGACCAATAAATTCATACACACAACACCCCAAAGTGACACTAATAACAATACCAATAAATTCGTACACACAACCAAACCAGCTTCACCTGAGTGTCATCCAGAACTGCAGAGAAGATGCAACAGAGCTCAACACTTAAAGCTAAACAGCTCCAACAGACTACATACTACATACTACCCTCATCTCCTTCATCCACCAGCTGAATCAATTACAAGCATAGAACACTAATAATATAACAAACTCCTCTGCCTACCAGCTGAATGCATCAAGACATCAATACAAACCCAGAGATCAGATAACAAACCAGAGCCCAAAACATACTAGCATAAACCAACACAGACCAGCTCAGAACAGTTAAGAACATCCTCTGATTTGACGCCAATTGAAAGTTAAATCATCAACTGAATAGGGAAGGTCCTTAATAGATGCTTTCAGCCAAAGTGCTGCTCTGATTTTGATACTTTCACTCAAGCCAGAGAGATTAGGTTGAGCCTCTGCAAAAACACATTCATTCCTAAGTTTCCAAAGCGACCAAAGAACAATAAGGGAGATGGCTCTCCAAATTAACCTATCAATATTCTTGAAATTGACAGCCATCCACCATTGGAGGAGATCATCCACTGAACCTTGAATGCACCAAGAGAACCCCCACTCATTAATTATAGACGACCAAATCAACCAAGAAAATGGGCAATGAAGCAAGATGTGGACAGCAAATTCAGGTTCAGAACGACAAAATGGGCAAATAAAGGAAGTAGAAGCATCCAAAATTCCAATTCTATGCATAAATACTGTTGTCTTGATTCTGTTTTTCCAGGCCAGCCAACTAAAGAATGAAACCTTAGGGGGGACAGCCCCATTCCAAATATGCTTACAAATTTTAAAGTGAGGCCCTAGAATAGAGCTAGTAGAAGAGTAGAGAGAGGACACAGAAAATACACCAGGACTTGCAGATACAGTAGCCCAGATAAAATGATCAGGCCTGCCAAGTGACAGAGAGGGAGCTGTTGATAGTAGTCCAAGTAAGTTAGCTTCTTCATCCACTTCCCAAGTGAAAAGCACTCTCCTAAGAGGAAAATTCCAATTGTTTGGGCTGGTTTTTCTTGCCATGAATTGTTGTAAAGAGCCTTCTTTTATCTATTGAAAGATTAAAGAGGAGGGGGAAGGTAGACTTAAGACTAGAGCTGCCACACCATCTGTCATGCCAAAATTTAATTCTGTTTCCATCCCCTACTTGGATTTGGCAGTTATCTATATAGAAATTGTAAATATTTGTGCTATGATTCCCAATAGATAAAATGTCCTTCCAAACTCTAGAATGTTTGTAAGAGAGCTTTAAAGGTGGATGCCAACTAGCCTCATCAATATTGTATTTGCTGCATATAGCTCTCCTCCAAAGAGAGTTGACTTGAGTTGCAAATTTCCACCACCATTTGAGCAATAGACAAGCATTAACATCTCTTATTCTTCTGATACCCAGGCCCCCTTGGTCAAATCTTTTAGTTACCTTCCCCCATTTCACTAAATGAACCTTCATTTTAAGATCATTACTGCCCCATAAAAAAGCTGTCTGAATCTTTTCAAATTCTTTTGCCACACCTTTTGGCATCTTAAATAAAGAAAGAAAGTAAACTGGTAAACTAGATAGGGTAGACTTGATTAGAGTTAATCTACCTGCAAAAGATAACAGTTTCCTCTTCCACCCTGAAAGTTTAGATCTGATCTTGTCAAGCACAGGCTTCCAGGTAGATTTTTTACCAGGATTGGCACCTAGAGGCAGTCCCAGAAATCTCAAAGGAAGGTTGTGAACTTTACAGTTAAGAAGATGTGCAAAGGAGAGCAATAAAGCATCAGACACACCGACACCACACACCACGCTTTTGTGATAATTAATTCTAAGACCAGATAGAACTTCAAAGCATCTAAGAATTCTTTTGATAAGTACCATTTGATCCCAATGACATATGGTTTTTGAGAATGTCTATTCTCAAAATAACACTTTGTTTGCACCATAAATTGATTTCTGTCGATTGTGACTTGTTGACTATGGCCAAATCCAATTTTATTGATTGTGGCCTGTTGATCATGATCAAATCTAATCTCATTAATTGTGACCAATCAATTTTGGTCTATCGATTTGGACAATAAATTATTTTTAATATAAAATTATGGCCACAAACATTTGTATTTTATACTATTACTAGTGTATGCTCATGCCTAAAGGCACGGATGAAATAATATGGAGATTAATCTTATCCTATCCAATCTTTTATGTAGTACATGAAAAATTTATTTACAAAATAATTTTGGAGAAAATTGTTCATTTCTTATAGCATCACCATTATTCTTACCCAAGTTATCAATCTTTCTTGTTCTAATTGAAAAGGTTGGTCTCATTTGAACTTAGGCTAAAATTAAAAAAGAATATAATCTCCGTGATTGCAATATTAACAAAGCATCTCTAATGTTTAAAAAGAACAAGCATGGAAAGAAAAACCGTACACTGTCGCTCACCCCCATTGTGCAAAATTGAAGTGTATCAAAGCTCAAAGTTTAGCAAGAAAAATATATCAGTTAAGTAAAATGCATGATTAGCAAACTCATGAACATATTACACTTAAAGTCTCAGTGATATTACAGTATTAGTTGGTTACAACACTCATTTCACTTTCTTAAGCTTAAGTCTCAGACTCTTCATATTACACTTCTCTCTTGCTAAAGCTTAATTAATAAACCAATTACAGAGAAAGAGAAAAATAGAAACTAAAAAAAGTAGAAATTAAACTTTAATTAACAAAACCACCTGTCTTTGGGCAATCAACTAACCCCCCAATCAAGCATATATGTCTATGGATTACACCAATCTCAAAACATCAAGACATTTCATGTTTGTTTGTTTGAAAATGGTTTGATGGTGCTACTGGCAAGTAGGCTAAGACGTGGATTTGCCACCCTCAGGTGGGCTTAGAAAACATGATTTTGCCACTATCTAGCAGGCTTAAAACTCACAATTAATGAATTGTTCCAATTCAAATAACCCAACCTTCACCCACAGGCATTCAGGCAGTTTATATCACATAAGCAAATAGCCTCATGGCAAGCATGCTATCATGGCAACATTAACACACATGTAGTATACTAAAGCATAAAGACTTACAGTGTACTCCAAGCCAAAACAAAGCACTAGTTAGAAATCATATATGATCCTAGTTCATGTTAAGATGGCTAATGTGACGCATGCAAAATGCGACTAGAATAGGCTCGGCTAATCTAAGATGGCATATGAGATGTGACAATTTAATACATGTATTCAACTTGGAATTGAAATAAGATGCAGTTTGTATGATGCGCCGAGCCCGGTGCATGCAATACAGATGAATGGATGCAAACATGCAAGCATAAAGATGATAATTGAAATATGCCCTAAAACTAACCATCATAAGCGGTTAAGTAAAAGGGAGAAAGAAATGGGGGTTGGAAGACATGCATCACGCACACGCACGCTTATTACAACAAGTGGCTCTCTCGAGGGAGAGACCGAAAGAATAATACAAATTAACTAATTAACTAACAAGCTAATTAGTTAATTACACAACACTTAACTAATTAAACAAATTAATTCAGCTATGAAAACAGTAAAACAGCCTCGGGAAGAGGTACGAATAATGATGCATGTTCGGGTTGCCTTGCGCGAAAATCCATTGCGATGCCCCAATTAGCCTCTGTTTGCAATTGTTCTTGGGATGCATGCCAAACTCCGGAAGGTTGCTGACTCTTGATTTGCTGTAACAGAGAGCAAGAAAGGGGCATGACAAAGTATTTTCACATATGTATGCATGACTACCCTTCAGGGAGTGTAGTCCTCGATCCTCGTGCCACCAATCACGCGTCTCGATGCATGATGGTCGAGGAATCGATTTGCACGACTTGATATGAAATGAATGCACATATAAACATAACAAGACCGAG